TATATTTTATATTTTATTTAATCTTTTATAACTAATATATATATGCGAATAATAATAATAATTAATCTATTCCATATTTTTCATTCCTAATTATCTTTCTCTCATTTGGTTTGTTTATTCAATATTTTAGAGAAGAGAGACACAAGAATTAAGAATACTAATCGAAAATTGTGTGGCTTGTCGTCAAGGTGTGGTCGGTGAGTGAAGTGTTTCGTATAAGACACCCGTTATATAAGAATTATTATCTTATTGTTAGAATATATAGTTCAGAAAGATTAAAAATGTAGAATATATATATATCATAATTAGATTGATAGATAAACGAGATAAAAGATTAACCAAACTTTCTCGAGTCTTATTTCATATTTTCTAAACTTTCCAAAAAAAAAAAAAGAAAAAACATTAAAAAGAAAAGAACGAAGAAAACATTTATATCTATTATTTTAAGATCAAAGATCGAACGTTGTATCTTAAGGGGGGGAACAATAAAAAAAAGCAAGAAGAATTACTATAATAATTGAACGTACGTCAATAAACAATATACTTGCAATACAATCAATTTCTTTTTTGATTTAAAATCATTCTAAATATTCTAGTACATTAATTTCACATATTATTATCATAAACAAACTATCCGACAATTGATTACTTTTGTTTTTTTTTCTTTTTTTTCAAAATAAATCAAAAACATTCATTTTTAAATAAAGATTATTATAATTATAGATAATTAGAAATATATATATATATATATATGTTACCGTCAAAGCTAGAAATCAGGCATTACTAGTAATTCCTCGGCATTACTATGAATGTAAAGAGCCTTTAAACAAAGTTGGAAATAAGACTTTTTGAAGAGTTTTTCCTAAGCATCGAACATAATACTTTGTGAACTTTTTCTGATTAATTTATTACTCGATATGGTATTCTACGCGTAGACAAAAGAGTGCACTTTAATTTAATATAAAAATCATCAAAATTCATTTGCTAAAAGTACAAAAAATATTTACCAAAACTTTTCAAAGAAATTGCAAAGATGCACAATTTACAGCATTGCATTCTCTAACATTTTCTGATCTGTACATGCTAAATTTATAACTCAATATGGTGTTCTACGTGTAGACAAAAGAATGTTCTTTAATTTAATATAAGTTTCATCAAAATCTATTCACTTTTAGTATAAAAAATATTTACCAAAACTTTTCAAATAGAAATATCAAAGTTGTACAATTTATAGCATTGCAATCTCTGATATTTCTTTGAAAATGGTTTTTACATGTATGGGTTGTTTTAAGGGGAAGGGGTTGCGTATAGCTGTGTATATCTGTGCCCAAAAATGTATTTTTTTCAACGTTGTTTAAATAGTAATTTGATATTCTATAGGATATCAAAGTATTATGTTAGATGCCTAGGAAAAACTCTTCAAAATTTACATTCATTGTAATGCCTGATTTCTGGCTTTGACGGTAACATACATATATATATATATATGAAAATAAACTTTTGTCGAGGAATTATAATACAAATGAATAGTTTGATGAAATTTATAATCAACAAGTTAAGCATTTTGTCTCTCCTGAGCGGTGATGGTTCCTCCAATAGTATCAACAACAACAACAACAACAACACCACGACAAATATCCTGCAACTACGAATCACCGTGTTATCCTGGAGTTCAGTGTCAGGATTCATCAAGAGGACCTATTTGTGGTAGTTGTCCAAGAGGTATGACAGGTGACGGTCGTAATTGTATGAAGGTAACAACTTGTCTGGACAATCCATGTTTCCCTGGTGTACGTTGCGAGGATCATCATCATGGTTATAGGTTATGTATATATATATATATATGTATGTCTATATACATTTTCTTCTTACATAACCTATAATGATAAATAAACATTTATCAAATAATCGGATACGTTACCATAATTATTTAGATGCGGCAAGTGTCCAAATGGATATCACGGTAATGGTGAACGTTGCGAACGTAGAAGAAACCCTTGTGATTCTCGTCCCTGTTATACTGAAGTTGAATG